CTTTCCAACGGAAGAAATTAAGCTTTCTGACATCTTCAAGGTTTTAATTGCTCTCTGGTACAAATTGGGATGATAAATTCCAAATGCATTGCTACCAGGTACTGTGAGAAGCATAAGGTACAAACTTGTGGCTTCCAGACAAGCCTGTCCAGAGTCTTTGTCGATCTCAGCACATTGGCCGGTCTTCATTATGTAACCAAGCATAGCAAGCAGACCACGTATGTTGATATTCAAGATCATCAGGGCTTGCCATGAATATTCAGAGGTTTCACACTCACATTCGTTGGCGACGATCCATGCCTTCAGAACAAGACGGGACTTGTGCAACAACCGTCTCGCGTCGCCGCTCTCCAAGTACTCGAGATAATCATCGGGTGCTTCGTTGTAAATCATGAAGTCCGAATCCCAGATCGACTTGATCCAGTCTTCATCGAGATTATCCAGCTTGAAATCGTGAAATACGCGCAACGATTCCATAATGTGAGAGAAATGAGTGGATTTTAAATTGCGCTCAAAATATTAAATCGTTATCATTTTCTCCCACGTGCGGCTCTCACCGACGTAAACATAACCTTAACTTATCGTTGCGATAATGCATAGATTTGGAGGGGTTCAGGTTATCGTTTTCTTATGCGTATCGATAATTATTTTACGGTTCTGTCTCTCCGATATACATGGACCAGCCAATGTTGCGGAACATTTATCACACAACATTTCGTTTACTAAAATAAAATGTAAGAGACGAACAATAGCGTCCATGTAGAAGCGGTAAACTGAATAACCAATGACTGGTTACCAAGGGTGCGTTCCGTTTCACGCATTGAGTGCATAGATCGCCTGGAAATCTATAATATATGTTACGTGAACTATAGATTTCCAGGTGATCTATGCGATCTATGCGCTCAATGCGTGAAACGGAACGCACCCCAAATCATATACATAAGCATAAGCTGCTTATATATATCAGAGAGAAGCCTGAGAGCCGTGACGTTTCTCAGGCTTCTCTCTGTTGTGTGTGTGTATATATATATATGCATGCGCGAATATATATATATGATTTACTTATGTGCATCTACATGATCATTTATAGAAACAAACCGATTATTAATATATTTAATGATTAATATATTAATAATTCACATGTTAATTTTATATATTAATAATAAAAAATCAAATTTTATATTAAAATTTA